TTATGTATGTGATAAAAATACAGACTTGACATTTAACGTGGAATAATATTTCAGTTTCAAAGGTATGCCTAAATAAAAATGCATTCTTTTTTTTTCAACAAACCCGGATCTCACATAAGATATGTGAATGAAAAAGTAATAAGTCAGGTGTGTCACTATCAATCAATTAACCAGCATGTCTGTAGCACTGTTGCATTGCGTAATATGCAGTGATTTACATGTAATATGGTAGTGCACTTTAGGCTGGTCATAGCATGGCTTTGAGGAAGCATGGTTCTGTCCAAAAAGTCTCCATATTTCGATAACGCCTGCATAGAAGAATTTGAAATTTTCCATAAAAGTGTCCGATTTTGCGTTGCGTACACTGAGTGTAGCAATGCTTCACAGCATAGTGACTCTGTGCCAGAATGGCGCGAAAAAGACAGACACTGCCAGACAGATTATTGTGGCATACGAAACGGTCGGCACACTTTTACAGAGCTGTGCTCAGTTTGATATACTACACAGAGACCACGCCCGATATGTCCATATATTACCACCAGGATACAGAATTCACTACCCTTACGGATATGCTTCTACATCTAGCATCTACAAAAACCACCCAATTAAATAGTATCGCTCGTAGAGTGACTAAGGGCACTGACAGCAGCAATATTTAGAGTGGAATTCACATTGGTGTCAAAACACTAATGGCTGCTTTCGATGGAAATCTTAACCAATCAAAGAGAAGGTAAATATTGATAACTATATGTAGCAATGCTACCAGTATATGGGGAATTGGGTAGGACAGATTTAGGTATTTCTAAAAATACAAGAATTGTATCATTTTGTGTATATATATTTCTTACAACTTATGTACAAAAATTATCAAATAGACAGGAAACGAAGTGGATACATAACTTGAAATCTATCTTGAATAATTTTACTTCTAGTATTATTTTTCCAAAAAGTATACGATACGACGTGGTTGAAAACAAAAAGAAAAACAGAATTAGTTGCAAAATGCAACGATATGTTCGAATTTCTACTGATTTAAAATTTCCAACTTACCCAAATAAAATATATCTTTTTAAAAATAATATATTTTATTGAAGATACGGCTCGTCTCTTTCTGGGCAAACGTTGCCAAAATTGCTTTAAAAAACACAAAATTTAGTAACCTAGGCCAAAAATTATGATTCGATCATCCTGATTTTCGATAGGAACCAGCATGTTTACCAAAGCCACTCATTAAGTTTGAACTAAATCAAAAATACGGTTATAGGATGGACAATAAGTGTGTTGAACAGAAAAGGCAATGACGCGGCACCCAGATTCAGATATCTATTCATTAATACTGGGTCACAGATTTTCTTCAGTAGATATTATTCACAGGTATGTCTCTGGCTTATTCATGACATTCATTGTCTACTGTGACCCTGTTGTCAAATCTGAAGGGTAATTCAAGTTATGTAGACTCGCACAGTGTCTGTATATAAAAACGAGCAATATCGATCTTGGGTGTTTGCGGGTTCAGTCTACTGCAGCAGTTAAAATATTCTTTTCAACCACAGCAGCTGTGCGGGTTTCGAGTCTCTCTTCTAAATGCTATTATGTCTCATGTTTTATCGTTCATACGATATTTGTAATGATCTTAGATTAAAAAAATCGCTCGTTTCAAAGCTATTATAAAAATCATTCAACTTGGCACCAAATGGAGCTGTAAACGAAGAACAACTAACTCGTCATTTTGTATCGCGTGAGTTTATCAATCGCTGCTCACAATAAAGAAAGGGATTGGTCCATAAAATCCCACGTGCACATCCTGGCTGGAAAGTAATCTCTGAGCACTGGGGGCGATTGTAGCAACTTACAAAATTATTGTTTCCCATATGGCCTCTAGAAAAGTCTATAAAGTTGAAGAGGAGGACCCTGTGGGATATCACCCAAGCTGTCTACTCTTATGTAACTACCCCTACCCTTCCTGCCTCTTCCTCAATTCTGTATATTTTTATGAAGTCCCCTGTGAAATTAAAGGATAAATGGAAAGTATTGAAAAAACTCCGCCGTGTGCTGCACCCCCCCCCCCTCCCCCCGCACTGGGAACCGTAACTTTGACAAAGCATGGTAGGAAGTCATCGTCCCAATAACCATTATATAGTAATATAGTAAGAAGATAGGCAAACAATTTTATTTACAAATATTAGTGTAAACCCCACAAACGTGACCATAGACAATATTTTTTTTAAAAACAACGATAAGTGAGGTTCTTATGCCGCTAAAACTTTTATTACAGTGCATTTACCAGGGGCACCGTGCGGTGAAACCGTATACGATTTTTTTCTGCATCATAAGTGGCTACATTTGGATTTCGCGTGTATGCCGTGGCATTTACCCTTAAAGTCATGTAGGGACTATCCAGTTGTCGGTTGGAAAATTATCGTATGGAGATCTATCATGAATTCAGTGCAGTTGCCCTACCCTTCCATGCGGCTTCCTTGAAGATCGATACGTTGTCGGCACAGCCCCATCTTTACTATTGTTAACTAAAACAGTGGCGGATTTAAAGGGGGGGGGGCAGAAGTCTTGCCCCCCCCCCCCCCCCTTCGATTTCTGGTCCCCTCTTAAAGTTAGAATTTTGGCTTGCTGAATCATAGTTCTAAACTGTACCATATCTTGAAATGGCATCGTTCGCCCTCAAAAACACCATGGGCCGTTCAGCGGGCCCCGAAACCCACGCCAAGTGTGTGTGTGGGGGGGGGGGGGGGGGG